TATTATTATTATTATTATTATTATTATTAGATGCTTTAATCCGGTAATAGAACACCTATGCCCTTAGGACACTGATGGACCAAACACGGAAGCCGGTGCACGTAAAATACATGTAGCCATTACATTACAAAAATGTTCACAAAATAAACTASACTTGCCACAAGTCAATCTCTCCTGTCTCGCGCGAGAGTTTTTTTGTTTTAGAGAAGYGAGAACTTGTTGTGCGCAGCAGAGTGCGGCAAACGTTACGAAATATATTCCACAAATAATAYTTTAATTTACGCGTTTTTTCTTTGAAAGACACAATAACAGACGATATTAAAAGTGGCTACGGCAGAGAAATATATTTATGTAGCAAGCTTTGACGTATCCAAATATTTGCCTTAAAAGCAAGACAATCGTTTACCCCGGCTCTTTGTTATCTAGAAAAAATAATCCATTTCCCTCGAGAGAAAAAAGAAAACGTTTGTGTCAATACACAAAAAGGTTGTAGTGTACTTCATTATAAACTTTTGTTCAAAATCGGAATACCAGACAATTATTTTTCATCGATTATAAAGCAGACATCACATAATTCTTAAAAGTTATTATATGATTTTTGAGTTCGACGTTATTAGACAAACTCCAATAACTGTCATGATTTAAATTTCGGCCCTTTTCTCATTGATTCATTTTGAACTGACCCTGGAAAGAGGTTGACATTGTTTTCTTTATAGTTACATGTCTATAATAGCGTTTACTTTAAGAAAGAAATAAGTTTCAAGAATAAATGACTTAAAAGGGAAGCCGCGCTTTCAGTGGTACTTTATCTTAAAATGTATTTGTGTGAATGTACTTAGTAATTAAGAGTCTTGGTAAATAAATGTGGAGGGAATTTATTAAACCCACGCACTGTCCACTAGAATGAAAGATGGGTAGAAAGAGCAGGTTGGAAGGAAAGGAAGGGGAAAATGGGAAAGGAAAATAGATAAGTTAGACACGGGAAGGAAAGAATAGGAAAGGAAAGAAAAAATGAAAGAAGAGAATGGAATGGAATGGGAAGGAAAGGACAGGAAGAGAAAGAAAAAAAACCACACAAAACACAAAACAAACAAAACACAAAAACAAAAAACAGGGAAAGCTAGAAACAAGAGTTACACTGAGCACTGCACTAGTACAAGGGTCATGAAAACGGTTCATAAATATTCCGCCGCGATCATATACATCCTAAAAACGCCTCTAGAAATATAACATGATTGATATTCATTTATCCTTTTGTTTTATTTAGAACGTTTTGGGAACCTTTGAAAAGATCCAAAGGGGGCTAACGATGATAGACCAAAGGCTATTCACAGTATGGCAACTACTAGATTAAACGTTAAATTTTCGTTTGCAAATAAGTTCAACGAGTTTCTTCTAAGTAATTCTAAAATAAATCAATAAAAATAAATTGCTATTTTTTATGACCTTATAAGTGTCTATTAGTAGGGTATTGGGCAGACTCGAAGGCGCTTATGATTTGAAATACCAATAAACGTCGGTGCTAGTCTTTTCCGCTTCTTCCTCCCGTTGCCAAGGGTGACTTGGAATCCGCGCGCAAGAACACCGATTCCTTAATCCTCAATCCTCATGTTCCATTCTGGAATTTAATCGTCACGGCTAAACATTCATGAACTTGCTAAAATAACGTAACTCAAGGATTGGTGCGTGTATCTAGTGCTAGTGCTTGAATAGAAACGAAAGATGTGCCTATTGCTGTCAAGGCTTGTTTCCTTCCTTCCTTTCTTAGCTAAGACTGATAGCATGGAACTGCAAAGATGCTGAAACCGTCCTTTCATTGTTATCAACAGTAGAAGAACGCCAACTTCAATGGCTTAAATATCTAACGATTAAGCTTGTTCTCTTAAATTAACGATAAGCCAACGATGCTCTAATCTCGCCTTTCTTGCTACTCAATCGACCAACGATAAACGTTTTATAATTGCTAATAAAATGCATCTCTTAGTGCGGCTACTCCAAAATGATCTTTTTTCTACATTTTTGATCACGATTTAAACTATACCGACAGCCAGAATATGTTGATGTTGACAAAAACATGGTTTATTCGTTAACGAAAAGATAAAAAACTTTGTGTTTTTTTCTCTCGTCCAGTTAGAAAACGTTAACAATTACAGCATTAAGCTTCATGTTGATGAGTTTATCACTAAGCTTCAAGTTCTTGTTCTGCCTTGGTGATAACTTCAAATTTCTAGGGATTTTCCCCTTAATATTTAAATTCAGTACAAGGTAAAATAAACAGGGAAAAAAGGCAAATAAAAGGAAGCTAAATAAGRCTTAATACCCATTAAGAAATATAAGCGGCGTCCGGTCTAATTTAACAAGCTTGAAGGCTAAAGAACATACKAAGGGAAAAAGTATTAATTGAATTAGAGACATTGTAAAACTGCTTTCTTTCAAGAAATATCTACACAGGTTTTGAGATGGTTATAGTCAGGCATTGGTTCTAAAAGACTTGCGATTTCTTTCAATGTTGTTAGTCATTCAAAAGTAAAGAATCGTAATAAATGAATAAATTTWAAAAAATCAATCACCGTAAGAAATACTTCAAATTGCTAAAATAAAACTGCGTTCAACATTCTCGAATCTCTTAGTAAAAATAAGAAATAAGAGGTTTAGAAATGGAAAACAATTTAATGGCGATATAGCTTATGATTAGGAAAGATATCAGAGTTAAAAACACGTCTTTTCTTAATCCTCCTTAAGACATGAATATTCTAGTTGATGGGTAAATTAAGAAACACAAGTAAACAAAAACCTGTATAACTTACCATACGGCTGCACTTGATTTAGCTCAAATATATCTCAAAACGATTTACGTTTCCTAGTTGCTAAGAAGCCCCTTTTCTTTTTAGTAAGTCCTGCTTAGAGATATAGTTGCAAAAGAGTCTTTCTACACTCATAAATATAACAAATTTGGACAATTCAAGTGAGCTTTAGGGTGTTGTGGTAGAAAGATTGTATAATTCACTCCAGTGATCTTAGCTCTCAAATTCCTGGGATCAACAATGTAGGCCACATGACTTCCGCTCAGTCATTCGTCAAATCAATCCTCGTCCGAAACACGGCATGACTAACTTCGATATAAACTTATATATATATATATGTATATATCATATACATGTTTATATTCATATGAAAAAACGCCGACGCTAATATAAATATTTAAAAATCGGACGTCTTGGAAAATAAGTGGAAAAGTGTAAGGTTTTTGATGCTTTCAAAGTTCGACTTTTTTCGCAGGTCCCATATTATTGTCCTGACGCAGTATGAAACCGTTCTAGTCTAAAAATAATTTTAAACCTGTCATTTTGTATTTTGAACGATTCCACATATAAAGAAAGACATTCTAAATGACTTACCGACTTACCGATGGTTAAGAAGCGACGGAACAGCCCCTTGATATTGTAGTAGCAGATGAAAAGTTATTTCCTTTGTATACTGGACGATAATTCGGTGTTTCTACRTTGAAGCAAAAACTGAACGATGATTAAGCAAGTTTGGTTTGAGAGCACTTTTGTTGTTAATGACAAAGGCCTGTAAAACGTCACAYTCTAAAACATTTGAATAATACATAAATTAAGAAAAGCCGATAGAAAAATAGTCTATTTTGGTGACTATGAATTAATAAGATTATTTTGGTGAAATTTATACCAGAGTGTGAAAGTGTGAAGAGAGATATTTATGAATTGTAGTATTTCGTGCTTTTTGGTGTCGTGGCGTGTGTGATTTAGTGATATGTTTACTTTGCGGTTCGAAAGTACTTCTAATGTTGAACCAGATGATCATAATAAAAAGTATTTTTTGAAAACAGCTCGAAATATTTTAAAATTAAGGACTTTATTTAATATTCGTAGTAAACTATTATTAATAATGCATTTGAACTAACGATATATAAAAGAAAAGAAGGAAGAAAGGAAGGAACGAAGAAAGAAAGGAAGAAAGAAAGAACGAGAAGTGAACAAAATACCAAGGTAATGCAAAATTAATGA